TATTTCAATAATTCGCTTGCGCGTAGGGTCTTTAGCAGTGGGAGGAAATCGGAGGACCCGGAGAAGACCCACGAGGTTGGACAGGCGACCCTACTCCTTGTCACGTACAACCGGGGATTCGAAACCACGCCAGTTGACTCAATGACAGGCCTTATGATATAGCACGGACGTGCTAACCATTCGGCCATCCAACCCACCACATCGAAAAGAAAATATGCCAATGGAGTTCAGAACATAACATAACATAACGACATTTAAAATAGGCTACACTTTCCTGAACAGTTCTTGACTATTTTTATACTATCTTTGTTCTACATGTATTTATATATTCTATATATACTCTTCAAAAAAAAGTAGGGGATATTGAAATGCAAATACCTTTGCAGGTTGTGATATGATAAATAGTCATGGACACGTGACATGCTTTGAGAGTATGTTCACAGATCAAGAACTTATCGCCCCAACAGAACCACTGAGCTGCACATGCGCCAGGGGTTCATTGTCAAATTTGACACTTAAAGGAAGGCTTGATGAAAACTGCCGCTTGCTGGTTTATCCTATCCAGGTTTGCTTTCCTATCAGTTCTTGCATAAGATTTACTGTTTAGCGTATCTATGCTTTAGTGTGTTACGTTTAATTTGATCGGGAGACGTGTTCGTCGACGTCAACCTCTACCGACAATACTGCAAGAATTGGCCGTGGCACTGCAAGATGAGTGGGTTAGATTGCCCAAAATCGTGATTGGGCGGTTGATTAGGAGCATGCCACGACGAATTGCTGAATGTCTGAGGATTGGTGGAGCAATTACTCATTATTAGGACAAAAATCAAAAACGTCCATTTTCACTTTTGACGGTGTATCTGTTTGCCAGTGAAATGGGGCCGTCAGATAAGCCGCCCATATGAACTGTTTAAGTTCATGTATAGGCAATTGGCCTGTTGTTAACATGCACTGGTTACCTCTAATAAAAACAGCAGTGCATTTCCGCAGTTTTGTATTGTTTCTGAATATCCCCTACTTATTTTAAGAGTATATTTATAACAAAAATGACTAATTGGTCATCTACTACATCGAAGAAAAAACTGTCAAGCATGATGCAGCCCGGACATCTAATAACACACGGTAATTAAAATACAATGACAAATCCTTTGCATCATCATCATATTCTTTGTCGGGTGGAATATGATTACGGGAAAGGGGATGGGGGTATGCATGAGTCTTGGTGAGCGTAGCGGGGTCAAAAAACTTTTTCAAATTGATTTTTACAGAAAAGTACGTCGACCAAAAGGTTCGGTTTGTTAAATGTTATATTAGAATAGTTTGTGACAATTGCAAACATCAGAGAATGGGCCATATATTATAGAAATATAATTATATAATTGTAAAATAAAACAACCATTACACCTTTGTGGAAAACGTGTTTTAGTTAATGATTGATTCATTCTGAAAATTCGAGTGACAAAGGACATTTCGGACAAAACTGGCTATAGGGTACCTGCAACTGAAATGATACCCCTACCTTTTCCAAAGTAAAGATGTGGGCTGTGAATTTAAGCGTGGCAGAGAGAGCCTTGGTGATGGCACACGTCCTGGAGGGCCATCAACAGCAACTATTCAAGAAAACATTACCCGGGTGCATGACATGGTGATGGCTGATCGACGATTGACCAATAAACATTTCGCAAGAAGAAGGTGTTGGTATATAAAATTATGTAGATACGGTCACTAAAACAACTTTATGCGAAGTAACCATATGAATTTTCCGTGGTTGTAAAGACATAAATATGTATTGGACGTTAAATTTCTAATAAACACACATATTCATTGACAAAAAGTTTGGACGTTGTACACTTGAGAACTTTTGCCTAGCAACAGAAGATGAGATAACACAAACAACTCAGATATCAGCCTCAAAGACATGGCTACTGAAGAAGTGGAGTTAATTCCAGTGATCACCCAAATCGTGAACACATCTTTAGTAGGCGCTTAAAACAGCCCATGTGACACCCCTAATTAAAAAAATCAACCGTTGATCCTGATGTGATAAAAATTACCGACCTGTGTCGAATTTATCTTCCATTTCGAAAATTATAGAAAAAAATGTCCTTAATAGTTTTAAATACCATTTGGGTGAGAAAAAAAATCTCTAAAAAAATATCAGTTTGCCTACAGAAAACGGCACAATACGGAATCTGCCTTATTTCGTGTTCACAATGATATCGTATGCAGCTTGGGTCGGGAGAAACCAGTGTCGCTAGTTTTAGGCAGTTAAACCCCGTTTCATATAATTTCTACAATGAAACCTTACCTTGTTAGTCGAAATATGAATGAATAAACCTCATGTCGAGCAGCTATCTCTAGAATTATCATACATATTACATGTATACTACGTAAATATAAGCACCAAAATAAACTTAACTGAGTATCTAAGTTTATGCATTATATATAATGAATTTAAATAGCGGATTATATTTTATGTTTCAAATCATGGACCTTTGATCTCATTCACAAGATTTCATCAATTTGGATGTAAGCAGGGATGTAACATCGATGTGTAAATTTAAATCTTCGACAGGGTTTTCTTTTGTGAGTGATTAACAGTCTCAAATTTCCCCTGATGACTTTGTCCTGTATCATGTTCAGAAGATTGCATAAGTTTGAACATTATTTCTCTCGGCAAGAAAATAAATGTAATTAAAGGGCCATAAGGTAGAATTAAATAAACAGCTGACAGTTCCCGCTATAATAGTTAAATGTTAATGAAAACAGAATATGCTGTAAATTTCAGTCAAATTACTTCACTCTCAACCGAGATATTATCGATTCAATTTTAGACTAGCCTCGATCCTCATTAACGTTGGTACGGTAATTAACAAAGTCTCGATTATCCATTTTACGTTAAATTATCCATTACAAAATGTATCCAAACCCACTAAATATCGCAAGCTAACGATGGCACCCGGGACGATTATGGTCTGGATTATTTAATTAATGTCTAATTAATAATTTAGATTATATTTCAGGCCCAAAGAAAGATTTGCAATAGGAAGATTTAGCTCTTGCAAAATGCATGTTTAAAGTTTTAATAACTTCACAATAAACACCTCTGTACTTAGATCAGTGATTCTCAACCAGTGTACCGCGAGATCTTCCTAAGTGTGCCGCGAAATTTTTAACGGCACACTAAGAAAATGTGCAAAACAATGTGATCACAATTGAGTATTCACTGCAGTGTCTACTGATAAGTTCATAGCTGTGTTTTTATTTATTTAATTTGAGTAATTCTATGTTTTTGTGACTAGTCTCTGTCTACGGTTGTATTCCGTCTGACTTACCATGATTTTATTTTGCAAGATTTAAATTTTTTTCATATGTGTTCCAAGGTGTGCCGTTGGCAAAGAAAAAAGGTTGAGGGCCACTGATTTTGACCGAACGTCATTAAACTGCTTAAAAACCAATAAAGAATTTGTAAAACTTTTTAAACGTTTATATCCAAGTGTTGCCTAACATGTCTCACATTTAGAATACAAAATAATTTGAACATGAACGGTAAAATTAAATGACGTCAAATTGGAATTTATTTTTTTACCCAAATTCTGAATTTTGACCGATTTATTTCTAATGCAAATAATGAACAACGACCCAACCAAATATATATTTCGTTTACAAACTTACAACATAAACGGGTAGCTATTTGTGATTGAATACTTCTGATCTGAAAAGCATTGGCAAAATGTCGCAGTTTACGACGATATACTTTTGATATGACAGTACTGTGAACATCTGGTTAACTTTCTTTGTTATGTCAGAATGAAAGTAAAATCTTAAAAAATACCCCTTGATTGAAGTGTTTTTGTACCTGTCAGAAAAACATAAAATATTTTCTCACATACAATAGATATTTGTGTCATAGAATCTCCATGTCTACTAATATTTATAAATAATCGCTGATGTCTAAGCAGAATTTGTTAAGCAGAAAATAGCGATAATAATGAGAGTTACGCAAATCAAATTTTATATTTTATTTGCCCGGAGTAACTTCATTTAACAACATGCTAACCCAAACAGATGTTCTAGAAAAAGTAAGCATACCTTTCCTTGTACGTAACAGCTATCGCTACTCACAGTTAATATAGGACAACCTAGGGTGACATTTAAAGGAACCGGTCATTGAAAATGAAAATTAGCATACTTCAATCCAACACTTAACAAGACAATCAGCTAGAAAATCAAATTGTATGACGATTAAAAAAGTATTATGTAAGATTTAGATAAAGAGCTGCTGGTCTTCCTTGCTGTAATAGTTCAAAAACAGATAATGCAAAATGAATATATTAAAACAATGCATTAAAAATACTTTATTCTGAAGGTTTGACAAGATGTATGCACTGATTGTAACCACCATACTGATTGTTCGCGGCTTAACCTCGATTCACCATTTTTAAATTAAATCATTAAATGGGCGAGCCGCTCTAATCTACTTAAAATCGGTCACAGCCAATGGCATCGAGAGTTGTTTATGGTCTTGTCATGTTAATAAATGCCTAATTTATAATTTATGTAACATTTAAGGCCCAAAGAAAGACCTGCAAAAGGCAGATTTAACTCTTGCATAATGCCCGTTTAATTGATTTAATCAACATTAATATTCAAACTAAATCCAATTGCTCGATTAAGTCAACACTAATAATGAAATTAAATGACATATGGTCTTTCAAATGAAGTCTTCCTTTGCTTCAATGTAACACCCAATGCAATAAAACTAATCAAACGAACTCATTTAGCAAGGAGATTCTTTTAAGTCAATAGAATTAAATGGCGATTAATCCATTAAATCAACATAAATGGAACCCCTCTTCATACTTAATATTAATTATTTTTAATTTTAAAAATATTCATGGCAAAGTAAAATCTTGAAAGTATCAAACAAAAAATAAATTAATAATTATAATGTTATTGGTCAACTGGAAAACAAGAATACATTAAAATCACAAACTTACGTTGGAGCATAAGTCAGTCGAAAGCATTAATCGATCCTGAAATGACAGCAACGCTTCGATTATGTTTATTAAAGCTGTAGACTAAGTCTGGCTACAAGGAAGTTTTTCCAGGTGGGTTTAAACCAAAAATCAACAACCGTGTTTGTTCTTTTACACAAAACCCGTCCGTTACGTCTTATATTTGATTTGCGTGTCATTCCAGTGAAGGGGCTTTACCTCATAACATATATTCACGCCGATCCTAATGCTTTTTGGAATTCCATTCACCAGTTGTACCATAGTACATATAAATGTAGATTTGTATAAGCACGTTCGTTGGTTTAACTTTTATTAGTCAATAATTGTGTATCTCGTCATCAGTATAATAACCAATCACAAATAAGAACTAAGAAAAACTAATACGCTCCCAGACCCTGTATCTGAAAGAAGGCGGACAAAAACATATTGTTGTAACCGTTCCCAAGATAATGACATGTTACAAAAGTAAATGTTTCAGTTTGTTTGTTTTTTTTAAATGATGATGTCAATATTATTATATAAACAGCAGAAACACAATTGGCATTAGTTTAGGTCTTTTATTACACCAACATGCAAAATAGCTGCGGAAAAAAAGTGGCTAACCTGAAAATAAAAACATGTTCATAATAAAAGAAAAAAGGTTTTGATGCACATAAAACTTAAACATGCATTATGCAAGAGCTATATCTGCCAATTTGCAGGCCTTTCTTTAGTCCTTAACTGTTATATAAATTATTAATTAACTTGCCAAGACCATAACCAACTCTCGATGTCATCGGATGGTCCCGATATTAAGTAGATTTAAATACGTTTGGCGGTTGATGCGGTTTGGATAGTCGAGACTTTGTTTATTATCGTAACAACGATATAAATAACAATGGAGGTTAGACTGAAATTGATTCGCTGGTAACTAAGCTCAGGGTGAAGTGATTTGACTGAAATTTTCAACATATTCCCTTTTCATTATATATTTTTTTTAACCATTATAGCGAGAACTTACAGCTCTTTGTCTAATCTTACCTAACGCCGCTTTGATTTTGATTCCAGTATTAAATCCAAATTTATGGGGAAAATATTGCCAAAATTGGTCAAAATCAAGGAAAATGTGTTATGTGAGATATTTTGCCCGGGCAGCAGCACTACGGTCCACACTTATTTCGATTCCAACTACCAGGGTTTCTTTACGTGAATGCAGCTGTGTACACGGACCCTAGGTTTTTCAATTTCCTTGCTAGAACCTTCATCCTGCTGGAAAATCCCGAGGAGCTTTCCCGGCCAACAACGGATTCGAACCAGGAACCTCCAGGTTATCGGGCCAACACCTTACTATTCTGGGACACCCAGAACCTCCTAGTCTACAACGTACACATTTGATGAAATTTTACTGGGTAATCAACAACATAAAAAACGGACTACGCATGGGCAATACAACTGTTTAGCTAAATTCAAGAAAGAGTGACGACGAAATAGATTTTTCTGAAATGGTAATTCTTAACGTAATTTTATGTGCTTCTTCTATTAGTGTTTAACGTCAGCTTCCACCGATGTTGATATCACAAACAAGTTTTGTCTTATTTTATTATGCATAGTGCGCGCATGGTTCTTTTCAGTGGGGAGGAAACCGGGCTACCCGGAGTAAACCCGCGAGATTGAGAAGGTGCCCCTATCTCTAAGCTACATACACTCACACCAGGGACGGAAACCACGACCGCAAGACCGAGGTGACCCGCCATTCCAACCTCACTTATTTCATGTGCGTCGACATCTTTTAGTGCCACCTACCTCCCTTATTACGCTCTCTCAGTAGGGTGACCCACAATAAATAAATATCTCCATATATCTCCTTATATCTCGACAATTACGCCACAATATTTATATATATGCCAAGCCTCAAATCAGTTTCACACAATTATAGTCACTAAATAAACGATCATGTTGTACTTAATAAGCTATGACCATTAATCATCTATAAATAATAGACTGAAAACTGGTTCCAATTGTCGTCCATTACATCCAGACACTTTTGAGTAAAAGATAGGTTACGTGCCCTTGTTTTGAAATTAGTCTCGCTTAACCAGTCTATCGACCATTCTACGTCTGATTGACAGGTCGGGATAATCAAGACTACTTTTTTACGAAACATAACAGAAAGCTAGAACAAGAAATTGAATTTAGAAATAAGCACGTTAGGTAGCTCAGCAATCGTTTTAAGAACCTTGTAAAAGTAAAATGAAACTACTGCAAGTATCATGTTCCTGTCTAATCCGAGTGATTCAGAGATATTATTTGTACTAAACCAAAAGATGCCGCTCTTAACGGTACAGTTAATGATAAAGCGATTTAAAAAATGAAACGAACGTAATTTCTAAATCTGCTGTAATAACCAAGAAGCTTAATTTCACTGCTATTCAAAATCGTCAACAATAAATTTTTTACGGCTGTAATAGTTGATAGATTTGTAGAGAATTGCACGTGCCATGGCTATTTATAGTATCATATTGTCAGAAAGTTGGTCTCGGCACGGCGAATGTGTACGCTTCAGTGGTAGTCTCGAACTATCAGCGGTGGACTTTATTTCTGTAGAGCACATGGGCCACCCTACTCTCAGTGAAAAATAATAGATTGTGTACCTGATAACGTAAAAGACCGGATAATCTAGCCAATGATCTAGTTATTCTCAAATGTTGACAAAGCATCCAGACTAATATTCATAGGATATTTGAGTGATGGAGACTAACGCCTTACTCACATAAATAAATCACATAAATAAAAACAACTGAATTAAACAGTGTCAATAACGAACGGGCGATAGAAACAAAATCACAGGTGAACCGAAACATTATTTTTGTAAATTGGGTTGAAATACACCAAGTGAATATTTATATAACATACAAAGTAAATATATAACCTATACTAAAGGTACACTGATCATCACGAGGTTTCATTAACTAACACCTGCTCTTTATATCGCAAGGTCTTGCTATTATGCCAAGTCGAGAGTTGGGTCCCACGTTTGTACGACCACACCAAGTCGGGTTCCTACAAAATTGTATGGAATTGCTCCAGATTTTCTGCACACAATCGAATTACCGAAATAAAATTAGATTATACGTTAGTGATCTACGTTTCTTGTGTGGAAGTTAGGAGTTTGGGGACTTATGGCCACCCTAGCAATCCTATATGCAAACTGAAGCTATATCAAGGTTTCAATTATTTGTTCAGAATGGGTATACGGGTTTCTGAGATTCTTTCAAACATTATGTCTGAGATCATACGACAATTAGCAATGCAGTACCAAGACTCGACTGCGAAGTAAACGCTTTCGATCGACCACTGATTCATTCACTTGATTTCACAGTACTTTTATTACTTGCAATATCTATGCCTGATAAGTCTTGTCCGCGGGTTTGACGTATGGTCCTTTGTTTGGAATACAATTATAACGGGTTTCATTCAAGGACACAACGAATACTTGACTCTATATAATTTCATCTAATTTCTACCCTTATAGAATTGCTTTTCCTTTTCCTAAAGTTTAAATTTTCATTACTGGACAGCGGATCTTTTTTTTTCTTTCTTCATCTTATTGACATAATAAATATTTGTTTAGCCGAGTGTCTTCCTTATTACATGCAATATAAAGGCAATTATGAATGCGCTAGTCACCTGTCAAATAAAAGTTACCCTTTCAAGAAAAATAAACATTGAGTGTACTCGTGATTATATATACACAAAATATCCGCTATGAGTTTTTTATCTGCTGTGTATGGTGTGTCGTCAACAGAGGTATACTTTTTTCTTATACCTCAACTCAGGAGTGACAATCATATTGGCACATCTTGAAATAGAAGAGGGTGACCGTTTTATATAATATATATTTAATAGTAGGCTACACTATAAACATCGTATAAGGACATGAAATTAAATTTCCATAATGACATACCAATTCGCAATCGATACAATATCTCTATGCATAAATCGACATGATTATAAAGCTGGCACTAATAAATAAATGACAATAATAGCCATGGCTTTCCTCGATAGATGTTCGGTGTCTTGTCAATCTGATTAAAACACAGATCCTATTTCGTTTTGTTTTTTATAGTTCAAAATTTCGTTTCACTTGTCTTCACAACACTAGGATCTGGAAGAGTTGTTATATAACAGGGGTTCTAGTTGATGTGAGGAATTGGTCCATAAAACAGTCTGTTACGGCGAGTTCTTGGCGTGCTCTGCACGGAACTGTGGGTAAACATCTAGAAAGGTCAACGCTGATTAATCAATGCCTGACATCATGGGGTCAAAAGACACTCGTTTGACTCCTGACGCGACCTCCCTGTACAACTGGTCAGATATTCATGTAGTGTAGGCCATCGAAAGTATAAAAGAAAACGAAAGGAAATATAGACCTGTGTTTGAAGTAAAATGGGGTTTAACTTTCTACTCCTCTAATCTAACCGGTCTATGACAGAAATTTTCCCGGTTCTTTTACGTTCCCACAAACGTGTATACGTGACCTCAGATTTTGTCCCATCCGCACGACCAGACAATAAACAACATTTCACGATATATACCACCATCGTTGAGTGTTTAATGATTTAGTATAATCTTCGTCGTTTTTCAGATACTTACATCGAATTTGGAACAGCGACTCAATCATCATCCTCGGCCATTGAAACCAGAAAGTCAGTTGGGTTATCTGGTTGGCTGCAAAAAGAAATCAAATTTCAGCCTATGAAGTAACTCGCAGGTCTAGTCTCATTAGGCTTGGATTATCCAGTTCTAAATCTTAATTGGAAATAACCTTCCTTGTACTTTCTGATTAACACGGTGGAAAGTATCGCAGTTTTTATAGAGGATGGTCATTTAAACCAAAATCAGTTAAGGCTATCTGGTTGGCTACAAAAAATATCAAATTTCAACCTATGACGTAACTGGCAAGTCTAGTCTCATAGTCTCATTAGGCTTGGATTATCCAGTTCTAAATCTTAATTGGAGATAACCTTCCCTGAACTTCCTGAGTTAGCAAGTTCGGGATTCGTTCATTTCCCGCCTATTTTGTATTAAAGGGGCATTATGTAAGATTTAGATAAAGCGCTGGACGTTCTGGCTATAATATTTAAAAAAATAGATAATGTAAAATGAATATATTGAAAATTTCATTCAAATTACTCTATTTTGAGCAAAGTTATCAA